TACATCCACTGAGGTGATTTGTCTATTTTTGCTGGAACCCAAAGTAAATTCCCTCTTACGAATAGTGGCTTCAAGTTGACTGTGGAGCCTCCAAGGGGCTAGTTCCATTCCAGGAAGACATTCCCCAGAGAGGTGCTTTATCAAGAGCATGCTCTACAAATGTTGGAGCCCTAAGGAGACGAGTGACTGGAAACTCCATCATAAACAAGATTCCGGGTGCCGCGACAACTACCCTGCTTCCATTGCACTGCTGTAATCCCCCACTCGCTTCTTAGCCATTTCAGTTCTCTTCAGCAAAGTGAAAGCCAAAACATATGAACCTTTGAGAAACCAAATGTCAGCTCAGGAAATACAAAAACACAAGCAGCACTGAAAAAAGACAGCATTACTTGTCCTGTTACCTCTTGCCTGCTAACCTGTCTTGTTAGATTTTTATCACAAAGCATGGTTGGTTTGAGTTGAAAGGACATTGGGAAGAAGCTAGCACCTAAAAGTAATTCAGAACAGTTTCAGTAAAGCCTGTTTACATTGGTTGGGCTGTGAAAAAATAAAAAGTGATCTCGTACTAAGTGTTTTCCTAGAAACGTGTGTGTGTGTGTGTGTGTGTGTGTGTGTGTGTGTGTGTATGGAGAGAGAGAGAGGGAGGGAGGGAGAGAGAGAGAGAGAGAGAGAGAGAGAACTGTTCCTAAGCCAAATTGATAAATTTTTTTAAAAAATTCAAACCTTAATGTGAAACAATTAGAAGAGGAGGGAAATGAAATGACATGGAACTGAATTCACTGCAGGTTTCCTCATTGCTGCCCTAGACAAAATCTTGTCTTTCAAAAATTTTCTCAGTCAATTTCATTCTACTTGTCCTTTTGTCTTTGTCACTTTCCTCATTGCTGGGGCAAATACGAGACACTGACAACTAAAAGGAGAAGAGGTTTATTTTGGCTATGGTTATAATTCACAGTCCCCTGGCTCCAAGGCAGGAAAGCACGTTGCCCATAGCACAGGAGAGTTGCTTAGGTTATTCAGCCAGGAAACAGCGCAAAGGGAGAAGCCAGCCGGGAGATGTATTCTACCAGGTCACAGCCCCAGTGACCCACCCTCTAACAGCAACCCCACTTCTAACACTGAGTCAGCTACAGCAAGGCATTGCCTGATTACCTTCCAAACACCCACCTGCCCCTGAGGATATAAGGCTTTGAGGGACGTTCTTAATCCAAGCCATAACACCAATTATATCACTTTGCTTGAGCTTCTGAATCAAAATTACTTGGTATGTGTCTATGAGGGAAGGAATGAGTTCATATTACAAATAATGTACCTAGATATTGGATCTCCAAGGTGAATCTCAAAAGCCACGTGAATATGGTTCAAAGTTTCTTAAGTGAACTGAAATTCGAGGATCCCTATGCTAGCCTATAAAGTCCTGAAATTTGCATTATATTCACATCTTTCCATCAAGTCTGGAGTACCCATAGAGCAGAGTACCAAATTCTAAGGCCTGCTGTTATAGATTAAACTAGATCGTCCCAACTAAAACTTAACTCCTTTCACCAGAATCATTCCACGATACAGTGAGAAAGGAAAGGGAAAGTTGCTGCAACACATCAGCAAGAGCTTTCCATTTCAATGGATAAAGCAAGGAAAATCCTTCAGACACCTTAGTAAGAATACTCTTCACTTTCAGAGTCTAACCTGCTGGAGGGAGAAGTGAAGTACACCTCAGCACCATGTTTGTTTGGACACTGCCTGTGTCCATCTCCCAGTCTCTTCTGATGGGAAAGGAGGCAGTTGGCTAGCTTATTTCAGATATATCCTCAGCCAAACAAATAACAGACAGTTTGTATGTGGAATGCATTTTCATTTTAGTTCACATTTCTCCTTCCTTGCATTACCTAATGTATCAGACTTCATGCAATACTGAACTGACAGCCAGTTGTGGTGGTGCGCGCCTCCGATCCCAGCTCCTCAGGAGTCTGAGGAAGGACGTTCTCAACTTAAGGTCGGTCTGGAAAACTTAATAAGACACTCCGTATCTATAAAGACAGCTGGGGATATAGGTCAGTGGGAAGGAATCCCTTGGTTCAATCCCCAGTACCAAAAAAAGTTTTGAATTCATTTCTCTTCAGTTCACCAATATATTTTTCTTTTCTAGTTCTTTCAAACATTAATAACAAATGATACTAATAAATTCCACATTGCAAAATCCTCTAGTCTATGTAAATTTAATTCCTCAGAGATGCTGGTGAAGTTTGTATAGGGTAGATGGGCTGCTTTTCTTCCCCAAGGATTAGCCTCATCCATTCAGTTATATTTGATCAAGTATGCATCAGTTAGGGTGATGGTATTCAAATGACTGTTTTAGCCCTGAGGATGTTTGATATGTAGCCCTTTGAATTCAAGGCCTTGACAGAGTCCTGCTTCAATAATCACCCAGAATCGTTTTTGTAGATGGACGTAAATATTCCTTAAGTGGCCCAACAACTTGCCCATAAGACGTCCTATGGTTTGGATCTGGGGTATCCTCCCAAAGCCTCCTGTGTTTGGAAGATGACTGGATTGTGGGGTACACTCTACTCATCAGTGAATTAGTCCACTGATGACTTCACAGCTGACTTGCTGTGAGGAAGGAGCTGAGACCTAGTTAGAAGCCGGTCACTGGGGTTGTGACCTGGAAGGGTGTGTATCTCCCTTCCCAGCTCCTATCCTCTCTTAGTGGGCCCTTCCACCATGCCATTTCTGCGTTTAAGCCTGACAGCAATGGCCTGAACCTTCTAAAACTGAGCCAAGATGAGACTCTCCTTCTGTAAGTGTGCGGTTGGGCATTTTGTCCCTGGACCAAGAAAGTGACTAAGACAGGATGCTTGAGAAAAGGAAAATTAGTTTTGTTGGATATGAGATTTGTTATTTGTTTGTTTGTTTCCTTGCAGTACTGGAGATCAGAGTACTGGCCAAGGCCATAATCATACTAGGCAAGTGCTTTATCCCCCACCCATAGATATGAGATGTGGCTGTTCTATTTTAAAAGTTTAACCAACAAAATCCAAGCTTTATATCCATATAGATGTGGTTAACTATGGATATAATGCATTTGCTTGCCTGTGTTTTTCAACAGAAGGAAGATGTACAGAATAGCTTTCAGTAAACATTGATAATAACTAAAGCTTCTTAGTTCCATGACACTAACAAACTATTCTCTAAGAATTACTTCCCAAGTCCCAAATTTGGAGTTTTATCCCCTTTCCCATACAATCGGAGTACAAGACCGAATTGATACATGGAATTTATTTATTCAAACAGCTATCTTTCTGCATAACTCTCCTTTATTCACACACAAGTTTTTTAATTGAGGACAAAAATATACCTTACATTCCATGCTATTAAAAATCAGGAAAAACAATAAAAGATAAGGTTTTTTAAAAACATGCTTCTAAAGGAAATTTTAGATATTTTTCTGCAAATGTTTTTAAAGTTGAACTTTTCAGAACTTGTTTTACATGTATAAATTTTCTTTCAAAAGTTAGTACAGAGGACAGAGGCTTTGTGTTAAAAATCAAGAAAGTGAAGTTATAAGAAAAACTAAGATTCCTTTCAGAGTCTATAGAAAACTGAAACCAATGGGCATTACAAAGAAACTAGATGATATACTACCTTGGAAATTGAGCATTTAAGCATCTGAATTTATTTTAAATTTAATCTCCTCCTAGAATTTTAATAGTGATCATTATCTACCCTTTTGTGAATCTTCCTCCTTTTAATGGTAATAGAGCATTATCTTTCGGTGTTTCAAGGAATACATTTCAGTTTAACAATACAATAGGCAAATTTTAAGTAATTTGTCAAAAAAGTGACACCAGTAAAATTTTCTAACAATACCTTTCAAAAATATCTTTAGCTTCCAACTATTTTCTCAGAGAAATGGTACCACTATGTAATTTCTCAGTAAAAAAAAAAATATTGTTACTATTTCCTGTTTACATTTTTCCTTGTTCTTCTGTGAATTACAGTAATGAGTCAGAGCCTAGTTGGAAACAAGAACTATAAAATTCAATATAAAGGCATCACAATTCCGTTGATATATAATAGCAATCATAGTAACATTCCTGACCTTTATTGCAGTTTGCAGAGAACAACTAAACATTTATGAAAAATATAAATCTAGGAAATCTGTAGTGGAATGGATTCCTTAATGTATACCCAACAGTCTAGTGGTGATACACTTTACTTGTGGATAGAATTAAATTGTATGCATCTGTGTTAAAAAAAAAAAGTAAGGTGTTCACCATTTTTTCAAAGTGAAATTAAAGGCTATTAAAGAGATTTAAGTAGAGAAATGACATGATTTAATTTATACTTTAAAGAAATCATTCTGGCTGCTATGTAAATAAGCAAAAGAACAAATATAGAAGTAACAAAATTATTTAGAAACTTATTTCAGTTAAACAAATTTTAGATAAAGAGATAAGTAGATAGTACCTGGGTTTGGGGAGGTAACAATGGAGTAGAAGATAAATGACATCTTTGGGATAAAATGTTTTGAAGTAAAATAGGACAAACTTTCTGATGGACTAGATGAGGAAAGGTAGAGTCAGGGACAATGCCTAGTGTTCATTTCAGGTAGATCGATAAATTAGGGGGATAATTGGAAACAACAGAGGACATTAAGATCTCAGTTACAGACATCATAGATTGAAGATTCCAATTATATATTCAGATATATATATTCAGATATATATATAAAACAATTGAGCCTGAACTACTGAGCTTATGAATTTTAGAAATGAAATTGTGAATTTCAGAATCATTTGTACAGATATTTTTAAAGCCATGGAAACAAGATTTCCTAGGAAGAGAGTAGGCAAAGAAGTAAAAGGAATCATTAAGATGTCAAATATTAGAGACTGACAGAGAAGATATGGCAAAATGAATTAAGAGAAGATGGCTACAGGAGCAGGATAAGTCAAACAGAACTGACTCTTGAGTTTATTAGTTGGGATGGTAGTGGAGACATGGACAAGAGCCCTCTCTGTGGGCTAGGTGGAGATAACAGCCTATTTGGAGTGGTCTGGGGAAAAACTGCGAGGAGAGAGGCGTCAAAAATATGGACAAATGCCATCAGATGTGTTGCTGTTAACGTGAACAGAGACGTGCAATGGTAAACATAGTGATACGGCAGAATATAAATTGATACTGCAGTAAAGGAGAGATTAATTGCAGGAAAAGTCGTCCAGTGATATTTACATCATCCACAAAACAAGACAATTTGATAGGTCACAATACAAATCAAAGATTGGTAAATTCTTATATTGGAAAGCAGAGCTCAGGCAGCTCCTGTTTCCTGTGATGTATGTCTCAAGCTCCTCCTCCAGAGTGTGAGAAAAGGAGTAGGGATAGGGGACTAGGAAGAAACAGAGTGGAAAACACTTGTCTTAGAGATAGGAAATATATACATTTCATAAAGTTGTAGTAGGGAAGTTTTGAAATGATTATGTTGTGTCCATATGAAATTAAAAATTAAAAACTAAGCCATGTATGAGGAAATAGTTTGATTTTTCCAAGGGGCTGCTACCTTGAAAGTTTTTGAATCAAACTCAAATTCTTTAATTTTCTAAAAGCATCCTTGCTTATGTTACAAGTACGCTCTGTGTGATAAGTTTGTAAGGCTTTGTCCAAAAGAAGGGAGAGACAGGGACAGCACAAGTGATGGAACGTGTTAGGAAAACAGGGTCCCCGGCATAAAAGAAGATACAGAAACAGCATACCTCATTTTGCTACAGATCAGCTTAGATAATGCGACTGAAGTCATGCTATATTTAAAAGTCCAACAAGAAGAAGGTTTTGTTATACCACTGAATTAAAGTAGAATTTAGATTACCCCCAGAAGCTACTCGTGGGACTTATGTCAATGATTCCAGGTGATGTAATTAGCTGATTTCGCTGGTCCTTATGGAAGAACAGAGAAAGAGAAATAACTAGCTGGGGAAAGTGTGTACAACTGAGTTTCTAAAAGCAAAATATCTGAGGTTGTCAATAAAATAAATATAGTGTGCGTGTCACACACACACATATCACATATATATGTATACACATATCACATTGTATGTATATATACTATATGTATATCAATAAATTAAATATATGGTATATACACTATATATAGATATATATACACATCTGTGTATGTATAAATACATGTGTATATGTATATATATGATATTTTCAAAAGAATATATTTAGAAACATAAGTGGGCAATGCATTAAAAACATAATTAGATACATTATTGTACTGTTTATCTAATGCATACTTATTAGGTGCCTGCTACATGTCAGGCACTATGCTAGATGTGAGGTACATACACAGTGGTACGTTTGATTTTATGGAACAAAATTGTGCTCTCTCAGAGCTAATATGCAAATTGTTTATAAAGCTTTCTCATTATGATCAAAAGAATCCCAGGCCATCTATATATGCTCTTGGAAGCCTGCCTAACTTTTAACAGGCTGGGTTCTAGACCCGGTTTGCCAATGTTCATGAGATGTAGGAGGCAAGGGCAGTCTCTGTCTCAGTTTCTTCCCTGTAAAATGAGAGCTTTGGATGAGGTGACCTTTAAAACGTCTTTTAGACATTCTAGCTCAAAAGATAATTTATAGTTTGGTTAGTTTCAACTGAGCACTCACCTCGAGCTCTGATGTAATGACTGGTCTCCCAAAACTGGGCAGTGCTGAGTGCTATTTGTTTGTATTTTAGTAGATTTGTGTACAGATTCTATGAGAGGTTAAGATTCACTGGAATCAATACCCAGCACCACCCACATAAAGTACAAAACAAAAAATACCAGGAGCCATGTATATCTTCAAATGTGTTTTCTCAAGGCAATTCTGTCAGGTAGAACTTGTTACCATTTCCGTCTTAGTCCAGAAGGAAACTCAACCTATATTATTAGTCAGCTTTCCCATGGCTGAAGCACAATATCTAACACATACAACTTGAGGAGAGGTTCATTAGGCTCACAGTTTTAGAAGAGTCTGTCCATAATTGGCTTGCACCAAGGCTGAAATAACATGGCGGAAGGACGTGGCAGAGAAAGCTGCTCACTTCATGGCAAGTGGAAAGCAAATCAGGGGAACAGTACCGGAAGGGAAGGGGAAAAGGACCAAATATAATTACATCTCCACGATCCACCTAGAAACACCCAGAAGTGCGCTCCACTTCCCTGAACAGCTCTCAAGCCAATTAAGTTAACACAATCAAATTTAATCATCACGCGGAGTGTGACGTCTCTCAGAGACGACGTGACCTGCTAAGTAAGCCCCAGAGGCAGAGCACAAACCCTGATCTGAGGAGTCAAAGTCCAGAGTGTTCTCCACTGAACACAGTGCAGCAGGCAGTGTTTTCTGTCTGAAATCATAGAGATGTAATTTATAACCCAGTCAAGTGCTTTTGAAGTATTTTTTAAATTCGAAAACCCATTACATGTAAGACAAGGATAAAAAGATATTAAATTATGAGTTTGCAATCCTCCAACTAACCCAGTCCGCACACTGACCTAATAAGAAAAAATTATTGCTTTCCACTTCAGCCATAAGGACTTAGTTGTGCTACTAAGAAAGAAAAAAGGATTGGAAAATTTCAAAAGAGTATCAATTGTCCTACATCAGAAACATGGCCAAAGGAAAAAAGGCTTTGAGACTTTATAGGATACAAAGGATTTGAAATCATGATGGGAGAGAGGTGAGAAGAGAATTTAGTTAAGAAGGATTTAAGTAAATGTTTGGCAAAATTCACCACAAATAGGCCCCATTTTAAGTTTCTCATAAAACAAATATAAGCCAAGCTTCTCACCTCCAAGGTATAGAAAAGCCCAATCTGCCCAAATACACTAAAAACACAAAACAAACAAAGCAGCTTCTGTGGAAAGTTGTTTCCCTTGCATATTTGGAGATAGCTTAATTCTTTTAATATAGCAAAGTAAATAGAGTAAGACATAGCTCTAAGCACAGGCAGACGCCTATTTGAGGTGACACCTAGCAAGTAAGAGGACTGCCTTCCCCCTGATACTTTCTCTATCACTTTCCATTACCTAAGACATCAACAGGAAATACAATCCTTTGTATTACTATTAAGGCAAAGATTAGCCTTTTTAGAAAGAGTCGCTGACTCTGCCAGTGTGTGGATTCAATCTTACAATACTCAATTATGTGTGTATGATGCTGGTATATTGAAGAAAAGCCATCTCTTTACCACATTTAATTTAGCAAAATTACAAAGACTATGAGAGGGTACTTGGGTCAACTTCACAAAAAATTGCTATTAGGATGATAGTCTCTATTAGGAAAAGAAATGTTTCCATTAAGATGAGAAAAAATGGAATATAAAATACTGATCAATTAATAACTTTACAACTTGCATCCTAAAAGTCTACGAATTTGTGTATACGTGTGCATACATACATACATATGTGTATTTATGTATATGTATTGAATGTTCCTACAGTATGTAGCAATGCACTGAATAGGAAAGAAATTAACAGGAAGAGAAGATATAATTATGGCAATAAAGTGTGTGAATACTATGGAGAAACCAGGTAAACATACTATGCTTAATTGTTACCAAATGAGGAAGTCAGTAATTTGATTAAATAAAAATTATACATAGAAAATAACTTCAAATGTGATGCTTTCAAAGGGCAATAAAAACTGAAGACCCACAGCTTCCCAAAATGAGGAGGAAAAGAAGAAAAGCCTATAAAAAATGGGAAGTCTTGAATTCTACAGTATGTAAGTCCAATTTAATACTTTTTAAATTATGTATAAAATAAACTACTGCCCTGTCTACAGGGATGCCTACAAAAGTAGGAAGATAAATCTATACGATGATTTTAAAGTTTGACCTTTTATTATGTGTACATTTCTGCATTAATTATTAAAAATGTGTAGCATACATAGTAAAAATTTAAATAAAAACATTTACATGGACACATGCCATTAAGAACCCCCATTCTCAAAATCTGTCATCAAGGCATTGTAGTTCTATCTTCTACCTTGCAGACATTTCACTATAGCCAATTGTAAGGGACTATAAAGTGTAAAATTATAAAATTGGAATGGCTATAAACTGAACTGCTCTTTGCAAGGTGTTATTTTAAGAATAAATTGTAATCTGCTCCAGAAGACAGCCCGTCAGTCTGCGCACTGTTCTCGTCTGTGCACTCTATTATACATGGGCTTTGGAGAGCTGTGTCTCCATGCCTTTTCTCCCATGACTCCTGCATTACAGCTCTCAGACTGTAACCAAGCCCACTGGAAATTATTTCAATACCTGCCAAGAGAAGCCCTTCCTTTGGACTAGAAAAGAGACAGATAGGAATGGTCAGATTCTTCAACTTACTTCAGTATGCTTGTTTTTTTTCTTTCCTGTTAAATAAAATTTATTCACTTACTTTATATATTTATTTATACAATTGTAAATAGTTATGTAAAGTAGATAAGTATATATAAAATCAAGTTAAGTTAGTAGTCTTTTAAGTAGCACTATAAATAATAATTTCTACTTTTTCATCCTCTTATTAAAAATATACTTTTAGACCTCATCAATTTCCGTGCCATTGTTAATTATTTTTTACTCTTTCTTCCTTTTTCTTCACAAACAATTTCTTTCAGATATAGTTTTAAATAGAATATGAGTTCTTTGTATGTTTTCCACAAGACCTGATGTCCCATGCTTAGTCTTACAACTTTCTCATAGTAAAATATTTCAACTTTGTAGAGCAAAGGAGCACAGGCCACAAACTGATAGTCCCTGGGCCAAAACCCACCCCTACATCATCATCAAAACAGGATTTCAGAAGTTTGGACTAATCCTTAGAAAGAAGCGGGTTTCAGACTCGTTGTGGAGCCAGGCACCCTCTCCGTCTTGGAAAATGATACTAGACTGGCTTCTAACATGACGGTTCAGTTGGAGCTAAGGAGCAGAGAATGTGTGTGCAGCAGCCTGCATTGCTCGTTGGTGTCATCTACCTGGATGCCACAGCGCATACATTCATGAAGCCACCCCGAAGAAGGGACAAAGCATGACAAGACTTGCTTGAAAGGCTGTCCAGAGCTGCCTCAGCCCCCTTCCATCCTGTTTATTCTCCTCTTTTTTGGTGCTACTATTTTAAATTATTTCGAGTTCAACATAGGTTGTAGTATAATGCCATGTTCAAATACCTGTTCAGGACAACTTGATCTTTATCATGAAGTTACATTTAAAATTTGCTTGTGTACATGCTTTTTGAAATGTTCATTTCACCTACTTTTGGAAGTTGTTGTTTTTAGTAAAGCTTAATTAAATCCTTATTTCCTAAAAGTATATGTTAGTCTTCACTCTAAGAGAATTAATAATTTTCAATAAGATGTTTATTAGAAAGGAATTAACATACTGAAATGAATGAAAAATTATTACCTAAAATACAAAGAATATTGCATTCATCTTGGAATTTGGAACATTTGCTCTCTAAGAGTCAGATTTTTTTTTTTTTTTTTTTGCTTCCTCTCTAGGTATACTTTAGCCTTCTGGTCACGCATGCCAACAAAATAGAAAAGATGCTGAAAAGGAAGTCAAAGGAGACATCTCAGAGGCTGTGTTTCAGCAGACGGGGGCATCAGGGAAATCTAAGGAAAATGGAGGTGAACAGATGTCCGCATCTGTGGATGGGAAGCAGAATTCCTCTTTGCTTCCAAAAGCCAAGAAACAGACTCCATCTGACAGCAAAATACATAGGGGGAAAAGAAATGATGATCCTCCTTCAACTGTCTCTCATCAGCTAAATGAAGTCTTGCCAGCAGTCATATTTAATGACTGTGAAGAATCATCAGAAACTATTATACCGCAGGATTTCCCAAGCACAGTAGAAGGTTTTAACCCAGGAAAACATAAGTTTATTACAGAAGTGAAATGGGGGGCTTTCACTGTACAAGTAGAAATCAAGAAAAACGTTTTCTGTAAAACAGGTACTCAGTTCTCAACAAGGAGGTGCCCAGCATGTCACTGGTTGTTTCCCATTGGGCACATTAGGAGATGCTGCACAACCAAAAGCCGCTTTCCTAGATTCAATAATAAATTGGCAGAAGAATTAAAATTTGAGGTGCCATCAAAAGACAAAGGAGAAGGTGCCAGAACTGAGAGCCCCTCACTAAAAGTAAGCATTGTAGGAAAAGAACTTAAGGTTAAACAAATGAGTAAGAGACAGAATATTTTAATTAACATAATTCATCTGAAAAGGAGGAAAATAAGCAAACACAGAGACATTTCCTCCAACTACACCACAGAAGAATCTTCCAGGTCTCCTTTACAGTCTGGTGCTAAGCACCCTAGAAAGTGGGCCCAAATTGCAGATGGTTTGCATGTCTCTCCTCCTAATGTTTGCACTGCTCAGATGAAGAACTCTGACATATCTGTGGCTTCTCTAATCTCAACTCTTAAGAGAGATAAAAATAAGCCCGACTCACTGTCATCAGATTCAGATGGTTCTGAGAGAGAATCTGCCATCTCTCAGCAGAAGGTTTTTCAAACTAGTCAGCATTACCCCCAAATGTCACATTTCCCTGCAGCTGACACTCTTCACATGAATATTTGTCCTATTTCATGTCATACCCTACAGACCACAAGTTTAAGTAAAACAGATGTAAATAAAATGCCTTTAGAGGATCCTAAGGAGGAGGATAGAGAGAGAAAAACCAATTGTGATGTCTCAGGAAATAGCACAACAGACTCAAATATGCAGCAAAGCACAGAAGGAAATCATTTGCTAAGTACCATTATGGACATTGTTCACATTCAAGAAGGCTCAGAGTCTGATTTTTGCTCCTGGTCTTCTCTAAGTACACAGTTCAAAGGAGAAAAGGAAGCTAATGTTGACTGCAAAGTCAGCAGAACTCCACCTGTAGAAGACGGTGAGAACTCAAATGTTTTATCTTTCCCTTCCAGTCAAAGTGCTCTGAAGCCTTCTACCTCATTTAGTCTGGCTCACTGGGCCACCAGACATTTAGAAACTAAAGAGACCCCAGGACATACATTTTCTTTTAACCACTGCTCTGAGTTTGTATTAGGCCATGAGAAAAACCATGGTGATGTGACTGACAGAGACATTAGCAAAGTCATTTTAAGTGATGACTCTTACGAAAACACACAGCAATTAGTGGACAGGAGGAATGCACAGAGTCCAACACTCGGACCTGTGTCTTGCAGCAGCCTAGATGCTGGGAGCCACTCCATAGTATTAGCCCCAAACCTGTAAAAATGGGCCAATCAGAGACCTGGGCAACTCCCCCAGACATGGCAGTCCCCAGCCAAAAAAAGGGTCACTCATGACCTTAATAACAGATGAACTACAGAGAAAATTAATTACTCAAAATGATAAAGAAGGTACAGTTGATTCTAACTGTACTCTAAGAATGAGAAACCCTAAGGAGTCATCCGGTTCTGTGGGAAATGATGAAAAAGATAAATGTCAGATAATATCAATGTAAAAGAATGCCTGTCACAGGGATTCTGAAGATCTGTCCAGTAAGACTCACAATGAAGTCTGTTTCCAAATGGACTTTCCATTAAACATTGCTGAGTCCAACTCTGCAGTGCCTGCTACCGATGAGCTACTTCTTATTGAGAAAACGCTACCCAGGGATGCAGACCAATATGATAACCAAGATGAAAAGAGCCTTGGACCAACCAGTTCTCCCCAGGAGCCAGCAGAATACCAAGAGAGTGCATCATTCTGGCCAAATTCTGAAGGAGGTGAGAATAAATATGACTCAAAGGATAATTACTGTCACCAAATAGACATTTGGCTGTCTCCTCAGAAGCAGAAGGCTTTGGAGAGTATGGTAGGCTATACAGATTATTTAACTTACAATATGTTTACACATTTAAACCTTAAAAAGTCTTAAGGTAAGGACTTTTTTATTGCTTGGGATTTCTTTTCTTTATTGCTGAAGATGAGTATTTTAGAATTAGATGAATACAAGGAAGCGCATATCATCCTGCTTCTGTCTGTTACCACCCACTCCACCCATAAATAGTGCATAGCAAAATCACCAAGGCTGCAGTTTAATATAAAGTAAAAAAAATCAATTTCTCTTTAAAAGGTTGATGTATTGCCAAATAAATTCTGTAGGAAATTGTTAGCCTTTTGCCACTCTTAAATAATCCACCATTTTTTTCCTTCTTGCAGGCTAAGCATGTTTCAAAGAATGGGAAGAATACGTTTGTAATAAAATGTGTTTTTGAACCTGCTGTGATGTTTCAAAAACACAGTTATGCATGTCCTAGGAGGCTGTGTGGAATAGTAATCGAAGCAAAGGACAAAAACCAGAAACAACTATGGCTAATCCTGACTGGGCCATCTACAGGGCCTTTGACCTCCTGTTGACCTTTGACCTCCCTTGTGCATTAGTTGGCCCTGCTCAAACCATTGACAGAACCCAGAAGCTCTCCAGACAAGAACATTTAGGATGGAAACTCTTTTCTAAGTGCATATTACTGTCTGTTTTTCAGCCTTGGATTAGCACAGGGTCCTTTTGGTCACTTCATACAAGGCCTTTGTTTTTCTCAGTGAGTCCAAATTATTTTAGATTTAGTGTTAGCACCGTTTCATGCTGTAAATTAAAATGCATCTTGAATGAGCAAGTGCTTCCCTCCCAAGTGCTAGTAACTTTCCCAACATGCTCAGAAATGGAATTTAGAATGATGAAACTTAGGAGAGAAGCTACCTCTTCTTTGTTGTTTTACTTCTAAATCTTTAATGAAAAAAATTATGAGTAGGAGAAAATATTGATTGCTCAATGTTTATTTAAAATTTAAAAGAAATAAAATACAAACAATTTAATCTATTACATAAATATTGATACAAAATGTGACACTGCTTTATAAAAAGTAAATGCCCAAGGGCCAGGGATTTACCTCAGTGGTTTTGCTGCCTGTCTCACAAGCACAAAGACCCAAGTTCAATCCCTGGTACCAAAAAAAAAAGTAAATACCCTAACACAGTACGAAAACTATACAGTCACCTGCTTCACATGAATACGCTAAAGGGAAGACTGTCCATCAGAATGACTGCTTCCCAGTGCCTACATACCTCCCACCAGTGACTTTACTCCCAATACCTGCTACACTGCATTAGTTAGAAATGCAAGGGAACCTATAACAAGGTCCCTCACGCCTTCCAGAGTTGGAGACACATGCTAACCCGGATGAACATCTTCCTCTGGATGGCTCTCCTACCACAGAGGCACACTCTTCCTTGTACTGCCTTTCCCAGCAAGACACACTTCCTTATGCTGACTGGTAATTCAAACCAGATTCCAACCACAGCTGAGATTACTCTTCTGTGAACTTAGAAATTGTCCTATTTGGTAAAAAATCCCCGCCACTTATTCGCTGTGTTTCTCTAGTTCATCAAAAGGCTGTTCCTAAAACTGACCCTTTAGCTTTTTACTCGTCATTGAGCCCTTGATCTGTATGTTCCAGCCACACTAACCATCTTACAGCCTTTCGGCCTACATCCTGTCTTGGACCCTTTCCACGGGCTCCACTCTGTACTAGTCATTCCCTAAATGTCCACAAGTTCATGTCTTTTTAAAAATTTTTCTCATGTAGTACACTCAGTAGGGTCTTCTTAAAACAAATTCAATCTGAGCTGTCCTTGTTGCAGATAAACCTAAATAAATCCTTTTCCATTTTTTCCTTTTATAGGTGCTATGATTCATTGTTTTTTATGTTATCTTCTCTCATTACGATGTAGGCTTCATGAGGGTATGAATCTTTCCCATTGTTATTATTACTACATCCATAGCACCAGACAATCCTGTCCTCTACTGCAGATGCTCAATGAGCATTTGCTGGATAGAAGCAGGGAAGTCAGGTCAGTTTTGTGTTTTGCCTGGATCACATACTAACACACTCAAAGATAAACGCAAAACAGTACAGCAATTAAAATAGTTGTAGAACATGTATTTAAATGTGCAAATCTATAAATGCTTGCACATATTTGACTCTCCAAGAGCCGTGTATATTTGTATACCTTGTTCAACATTATTGTCACTAAAATATGTATGCCTCATGTCAGGATGGTGCCAATTTTTAAGAGTATAGATTGCTCTGGAGAACTTGAATTCTTTGGACCATTTGACCAGCAATTACAAATTTGATATAAGCACAAACTTATGCTTACCTTTTCCAAGGGGTCCTCTAACGCTTCATAGTCTATGATGTACCTTAGATTAAGACTCTCAGACAGGACTGCTGAATCTCATAATTACCTAGTGCTGTCCACCTCGTACGTACATTTAAGACTTAATTAGATTCAAGGTCACAGGCTGGACTGTCTGCAGGAGTCAGACTGACAATGTCAATGAGTAAAGCAGACCACACGTGGGAACACGTAGCGTGCTGGTACACTGGAGAGAGTGTGTCCTGAAGGAACGAGAAGACTGAGTCCAGCTCAGCCAGGCCTTCTGACTTTTCAAGATAGCTGGATACCTGGACTTTTAAATATGTATGAATCTCCCGATGATAAAAACTGAATGTGAAACAGTATGTGATCTCTAAGCCAAATAACAAGAAGAGGTGGATGTGAGTGTGTGACAGGAAGCAACAGAACCAGTATGGTGTACTGGATGCAGTCTGAACCTTGAAGCATTCAATACTGAGTTCTTTCTCTACAGGTAATGCTATGTGTTTGGGGAGAAAAAAAGGTATTTGCTCAGCGATTGAGTCCTTCAGCTGTAAATGGACTGAAATATATCTGTAAAATCTATGCCAAAGAGCTAGAAATCCTATATCATACAAAATTTTAATGAGGAAACCAAAACTAGGCCACCCCAAGAAAACGAAAGATAATGAGAAGGATTAGGTGATATTTTATATGGCACAGATTTACCTATAATAAACTAGCCTTTCATATGTAATGTGACACAAAATTTCCATGCAATCCATAAGATATTTTGTTCCCCTAAACCCTTTTTTTTTAAAGGAGTGATTCCAAGAAACCATACCAAGGCAGAAAGGAATAGAAATATGAGGAAGTTTGAGATCCCAAGCTTTACCCTAAGCACTAGAAATAAAAAGATGAATAGAAAATTGTTCCTTTTCATATAAGAGACAATTACTGTTAAGATCATTTCCAAAAAGCTGGTATATGGTGAAACTGCGAGCTTTCTGTCCACACGCATTTCTCAGTACAGGCCCAAGATCAGGGTCCCAGGCCAGTGGTGACCGCGTTTCCCTCCAGCAAGGTCTTTCCAGATCCACCTCTTCTTCTTGGTCTGCCCACTCCCTTCCTCTGCCTCCCCTGGCTTTGAATGGGGCAGCCTTCCACTCTTACACTCATCCAAGGTGTGTCAGCCATCCATGCTGCTACATCACAAAATATCAGTGACTAAGTAATGTTAGGAGAGAACAAACTTGTTTCTTATAGTTCTGCAGGCTGAGAAGTTCAAGATCAAGGCGCTCCTTGTTGAGGCTCCTTGTTGCTACCAAGATGCAGTTTGTTGCAGTTTCTCCCATGGCAGAAGGCTGAGGAGCATAAGGAAGTATCTGGTCCTCTCCAGCACTTCTAAAAGATGTTAGTCCCATTAATGACGTCAAGCCTCTCAAGGCTAATTCACTTCCTAAAAGCCCAGTCTATTAATAGCAACACATTTCATCTTGGGTTGCAACATATGAATTTTGGAGAGACACCTATACTACAAAGAAAGCCCTTGGTTCTAATATTTTCCTCCATTCCCCTGCATCCCAATGATGAATGTCATTATTGTATACTAATATTTTCCTCCATTCCCCTGCATCCCAATGATGAATGTCATCATATTGTATACCTAAAATGTACCAATAAACTTAATGAATAAAAAAGAAAAATAAAGCCTTCACAACGTGGAAAAAATAGTCCGGTGATAAAATATCTTTATTTTTTGTTATTTATTATTTTTTATTTAGATTTTAATGAATTAATAGATTGTCTCAATAAAGTGACAGTGTATTTTTCTAACCATAACACACAGCAAATTTTCATCCCACACAATTCCTCAGGTTTATAAGAATTCCTTAGTTTCTAAAAATAAAATTCCACTAGTTTCTAAAAATAATTGTCATTTAATGTAAAATGTTTGACCCTGGAAAATTCTTCCCTCTTGTGAATGCCTTCATGGCCAAAGAAGACTGTCATTCTCAAAAAATGGGGAAAGTACAGCAAGCTTTAGAAAAAATAGCCAGAGGCCAGTGCTATGGGATTTTTAAAAAGTTCCATCTCTCTGTAAAATCTCATAAAACGAAAGTTGCCTTGTTCATCACCATGAGCCTGATCACCAGCACAGTGGAAACTAGAATGAAGAAAGTGAACACTAAATATGGTAGGGTGGATGTTGTTTTGCTGTTGTCTCTCTATTTTCCAAGAAATGGGTAAGAATCGAAAATGGAGTCATAGAAAATTAGAGCAACTGGGTAGCAACTCTCTCACCACCCGTTTAGCCCTGTCAAGTGAATTTAAATTGTTATATAAAATTTTATTAATAATCATATACATAAATGAAGCATACAATTTATCAAAGATGTACCCGCTTATGTAAACAGTTTTCAGAATAAATTTTTACAAATGAATTAGATTTTTACAAAATTTAAATTGTAAAAGCTCATCTGCTACTAGGAGTAGAATAAAACAAAAGACAAGAGTTGACTCATTTTAAATCTATGTTATTTATGAAATAAAGTAAAATCTTAACCAATTTTGGTCTATCAAATTACATATTAAGTATTATATGTTCTCCTAATGTGATTTCCTTTTTATTCTGGTTGTTTCAGCCATTTTAAAGGTTTAATTGCATTGCAGTTAGTTTTTTTCAGCTTTAATTGAGTTTATTGGTACATTTTAGGGATACAGTATAGTTACATTCATTGTTGGGATCTTGTACCTCTATATGACAAGTCTTGATTCTCATTTTTTCCCTTACCTCTGCCCTCCCTTCACCCCCTTCTCCCCTCCCCATCTACAAACACTTTATTTTCATCTTTTCATTATCTCACATTTTTTTCTTTTCCCTTTTTACCCTTCCCCTACCCATCCCACCTACCCTACACCTTTAGCTCCTTTCTTCCCATTTCTAAATGTCAGTAATCTTATTAGGATCTTATGTATTATTGCAGATTATTCACACCAGGGAAACTATTCGGTATTTACACATGTTTGACTTATTTATTTCACTTAGGAGTATATCTTCAATATGTATCCATTTTCCTATGAATGAATCTAATTTCTCGCTCTTTATGGCTGAGTAATATTCCATTTTATAGAAAAACCACATCTTCTTTATCCAGTTTCCAACGTATGGGCAAATGGGCTGTTTCCAAGATTTAGCTATTACAAATTGTGCCACTATAAACATGGGTGCATATACTTTTCTGTGATATGATTCTTTTAGTTCTCTTGGAAAGATGCCCAGCAGAGGGATGGCTGGGTCAAATGGAACCTCCAGTCCAAGCTCTTTGAGGTATCTCCATATTGATTTCCATATTGGTTGCACCAGTCTGCACTCCCACCAACAATGGAGAAGGGTTCCTTTCTCCCCACAACCCTGCCAAAAAACCCTGCAAAAAATTGGAATAGATGGTCTATACCTCAGTTTAATAAAGGCTATCTATGAAAAACCATCAGCCAACATCATATTAAATGGCCAAAAACTGAAAACCTTCATGTTAAAATCAGGAACAAGAAAAGGATGTCCATTATCACCACTTTTCTTCAATATAGTTCTGGAAACATTAGCCACAGCAATTAGACAAGAGAAAGAAATTAAAGCAATAAAGATAGGAAAGGAAGAAGTTAAACTGTCATTATTTGCTGATGATATGATACTGTACATTGATGATCCAAAAAACTCCACCAAAAAACTTCTAGACTTAATTGACAGATTCAGTAGAGTATCTGGATACAAGGTGAATATCCAAAAATCAGTAGCCTTCTTATACACAAATAACAGACACACGGAGAGAGAAATAAGGGTAAAATTCCTTTTACAATAGCATCCAAAAAAATGAAGTATCTAGGAATCAATCTAACAAAAGAAGCAAAAGATCTCTACACTGAAAACTACAGCACTCTGAAAAAAGAAATTGAAGAGGATATAAAAAAATGGAAAGATATCCCCTGCTCCTGGGTAGGAAGAATCAACATAGTGAAAATGGCCATACTACCAAAACTGCTATATACATTCAATGCAATGCCAATTGAAATTCCAACACTATATTTCACAGAACTAGAAAAAAAAATCCAAAAATTCATTTGGAACCATAAGAGACCTAGAATAGCAAAAGCCATTTTAGGCAACAGACACATGGCACCAGGTGTAACAATTCCCAATTTGAAACTATACTACAAAGCCACTGTGATAAAAACAGCATGGTACTGGCAAAGAAATAGGCCTGAGGATCAGTGGAACAGACTGGAAGACACAAAAACAAATGCAGATGTACTCAGCTACCTCATCTTTGACAAAGGAGCTCACCATCCTCAGTGGAGGAAAGATAGCCTCTTTAATAAATGGTGTTGGAAAAACTGGATATCAACCTGCCACAGATTAAAATTAGACCCTTATCTTTCGCCATGCACTAAATTAAAATCCAAATGGATTAAAGATCTAAATATTAAAACAGAAACATTAAACTTGCTGGAAGGTAAGTTAGGCAGAACTCTGGAAGACATTGGTATAGGAAAAGACTATGAACAAATCCTCAGTAGCACGGGAACTAGCTGATAGAATCAACAACTGCGGTCTCATCTTACTAAAAAGCTTCTGTACTTCAAAAGAAACCATCAACAGAACTAAGCGACAATCTACAATGTGGGAAAAAATTTTTACCAGCTGTTCCTCAGACAAAGGACTATTATCAAGGATATATAAAGAACTCAAAACAATCAGTCCCCCCAAATATAAAGACCCGATTCCAAAATGGGCATCCGAAATGAACAGACATTTCTCAGACAAAGAAGTAAAAGCAGCAAGTAAATATTTGAAAAAATGTTCCACATCACTGGTCATTCGAGAGATGCAGATGAAAACAACACTGAGATTCCACCTCACTCCATAAAGAATGGCTGCTATCAAGAAATCACACATTGCAATTATTTATTTATAACTTTATTTCTTGTAACAATACACTATAGTATTCTTTGTGACGACAGAGGAGGCGGTTCAGAACTGTATAAAGTCTTTCAAGTCATTATTGATTCAAATATCAAATGAGCAACACCTTCATGTATTTTTGCATTTTTTCCCTTTCATCACTTTGAATCAAGATGTGCAACAGAAAAAGTATCATAAAGTTTGTATGCTAGTGATCATTAGAATTCTTTTTCTAAATAAATGCAAGTTTAGCAAGTAAATCATGAACAGATCTAATAGAATTATTGTCTGATCTGTGATTTCTGTTTGAGTGAACATTTCACGCTCTATCTTCATGTACTTATGTCATTTAATCTAATCAGAATTTGAAAGTCAGGAGCCTCCAAAAGTTGTCCCAGGAATTGGCTATAAGAGGTGGAAGAACCAGTGATGGTTCCTAGGAAGATGCAATTGAACAGTGGACCAGGAGAAGGGAGCCACTCAAGGACAGGAAGAGATGCAGCTCAGCAGGAGGGCGTTCAATCGCCAGTGCCTTTACGGAAGGATCCAGTGAGTACAATTAGCTTCTTTCCTTAAACAGCAACAAAGGCAGCAGTTGCCAATCCTAACCGCAGTTCCTCCCTTTTATCTCCAGAACACAGACTCTGTTGATTGAAAGTGACAATGTGGTAACAGGAGCTTTAATGTGAAAGATATTTGGGGGATAATCAATTCTCTGTTACTACTAAGAAACTGATACTTGGTCAATTACCTTCAAGAAAACACAACCGCCTGCTAAGGCTCCTTCTCTTCAGATCATAGCTAACTATATCTAACTGCAAGGTTTTTTTATTGGATTAAATTTGTGTTGTACTTCAAACAATTCGTGTTGATTTACCAAAATATGTATAATCTAAAAGAATAAGATAAACATGCTTGATTATAAGCAACACTCCTTTCCTCACTTTAACATTTTTTAAATAAGGAAGCATCTCCAAATAGGTGTGTATTTTAGTGAAACAGTATTTCTCTTGCTGTTGAATTTTTGTTGTTAAACCAGCAGTACACCTAGTCAGTGACACCTAGCAATGAGAGATAGGTTATCATTGAAGAAATCTAATGAAAATATGAGTTAAAAATAATGCTTTTAAAAACAGAGGGAAATAATGCATTTAATACACATCAGCATTCATCTGGATCTAAGATTCTAATAGCTAAAGTTGTTAAAAGATACTTACCAACTAATAGACATTTGTGGATTGCATATTATTTACAAAACAAATCAGTTTAGAAAAAAAAAACACACCAAAACCTGAGTGAGCTTCACTAAAAAAAAAAGAAAGATTGTGATCATGGTAGAGAACACATGGTAAAACAAAGCTGATCATCTCATGGGGGCAGCCAAGCAAATACAGAGAGATAGGTGACAGAATCCCAATAGGTATTTCAAGGGCCTGCCCACATTGACCCAACTTCCTCCAACTAGTCTCCAACTTCTAAAGGTCCAATCATCTCCAATAGTGCCATCAGCTGGGGACCAAGCATTCCACACAAGACTGTGGGGGACATGTAAGCTCCACACCATAGCAGGTACTCACTCTCTGACTCACTCTCTAGTCACCTAATGGCTGCCTCCTACAGAACGGTCTCAGGGTGAGGTAGGAAGCATTCTATATAATTTTGCTTTATGTAATGTAAGAATTCTTTGAGTTGCAATAAGCAACTTAGTTCTGGCAAAGAATATCCCATATCCCATCTGTCTGACTTCTATTCTAAATCTCTAACATTTTCACATATGCATTTTTTTTCTGGGCTGAAGGTAGGTACAATCATTACTGCTACTTGACTTATGCCGGAACTCAAAGTGGGGAATGTGTAGGCATCAAATTCCCTTGCTATTTCTGCTATGGTACCAATTTGTCACAGTCTTGTTTGCACAGAGAGCCTTTTTAGCCCTGTGTTCTCATCATTTGGGTGTGGAGCATTCTTGTTGATGTCATACACCATTCTGCATCAAAACATACACAAATATACTCCCTGTTGTGGTTTCACCTCATGTTTTAAAGGTTGATTCTCAATTTCAGGAATTGTCCAAGAATTCCCTTCTTGTTTCTAAACTCATTCATAGATCTTACAGCACATACTTTTCTACATAACACATGTGCTCCCACACACCCTCTATCTCCTCTCTGGTATTTATTGCTTTGTACTTTGAAATTCCTCTTCGTTATACATAAAATCTCAGCTGCAATTCCCAATTCTAAATATATGTAATTGAACTCATCACAGTGCTTATAATATAAAAGACCCTGCAAGTACTAGGACATATCCACATAGAAATTTTCTAGCATTTCTATGACAATGAGAGATTGTAGTCTGCACTTTCTCCACAGCTTTAACATTATCACTAAAAATAGCTTCAATTATTCTACCCACATTTTTATAAATAATGTTTTCTTTAAATTCTCCTCAAATTATTCATTTGGGGCTGCTGTCCTTTCCATGCTACAACCCCCCGATGCACTCGTTCTCTACATTTTGATACTGTTGAATGCCGCTTCATCAAATATCATCAGTACATCCTATTAACACCAAGTGTTTATTGCCTGCAGAGATAAGGGAGGACATTCCTTAAACAGTATTTTAATAGTGCCTCCCTTCCTGAGAGAAAGGGCAAAATCAGATTTTATTAAGAATTAGAAGCTGGGCATGGTGGCGCATGCCTATAATCTCAGCACTCCGGAGGCTGAGGCAGGAGGATCGCTGTGAATTCAAGACCAGCCTGGGCTACACAGTGAGTTCCAGGTCAGTCTCAACTATGTAGTGAGACCCTGTCTCCAAAACAAACAAACAAACAAACAAAAAACAAAACAAAATTAGAAATTTGGTAAAAGGCAGATCTTTCAATATGAGATCTTAGAATTTGGTAAGGGTCATGATCTAATAGTTTAGAAACTGAGGGAAATTTTGATGGTTTCAAAAAATCAAAAGAAAGAAACTATTGGTGGTTTCTCTTGAAAATCAGATGGGTTTTTGGAAATTTTTATAATAAATGACAAGTTATTTGCCAGGTCGAGTTTTCTGGAAGAAAAGACTTGTGCTGAGACTGTAGGACAAGAGAAAGGAAGATTTATGGTAGTAGGTAGTTTTAGTCCTTAGTGTCCATATTGTAAAAAAAAAAAAAAAAAAAAAAAAGCAGAAGCTTTGTTCTTATTGTACTGTACTCTGATCTTCCCCACAAATATTTGAAAATTTTTTAAGTTAGATGTCCTAGCTAGCTTTGATCTTGACAGCTACTGATATTTTTCTTGGCTGTTTAAGACTGATGAAAAATTGCCAGTCTTTGAATATTTAGTTTCTTTTTCCGAAAGAATGCAAATCTTGTATTATACATGTAAATTATATATCAATTGTCACTGATCCTATACTTTTAGGCCCCTCAAAGAACATACGCATACAAAAGCAAAAGTGAGAAATATAAGATTTCCTGAACACATCAAAGGAGAAAGTTTACAACCCATGGAAAACAACCTGAAATTTCTTTTAGATATCATTCTGCTTCAGAGGTGTATTTGTGGCCTTGTAGCATACAAAGGGGTCCCTTACATAACATTGCCTTGCCATAGCACCCATACTCATTGGCTTCTATTCAGAATTTTTTCTTGGACTTCACAATTGTTCCCTTTTATAGCACGGAGAAATTCAACTGCAGTTCATACCACTAAATCTGTGTAATCAAGATTATCAAGGTGCTCATCAATCAACCAACATCACAGTAATCGGCATCTACCCATTTCAAAATAGAGTAACACAAAAAGTGTACATGTTTATGGAGTACCATGTGATGTTTTGATATATGTATACACTATGTAATGTCTAAATTGGCTTAAATATATCTATATCCACAAACATCTATCACTTCTTTCAGAGACAACATTCAAACTCTTTTCTTCTGGCTTTTAAAAACATCATACTTGTGGTTGATCATAGCCACCCATGCAATACCACACCAAAACTCTTTTCTTCTCACAAAACTAAGAAATTAGACCAAATGGAAACTGTTTAGTTTGATTAACTATAGATGATCTTCCTGCACCAAAGTAAATGGGGCTGACTCTTTCTAGTTCATAGTCTACCTCAGTACAAGGCATCCTCTGCTTTATGGACAAATCCTTCACTAGCAGTGTGCTCTTAAACATTCATGCCTGCTCTGTTTTTCTCAGAAAAAGAAACAATCATAGGTGAGCTGCATCCAGTTCGCACTAGCTCACAAAAAACTAACTGCACATTTTTCTAGCACTGCCGTTCAACGGTAGCAGGTTGTAGTCTTGAAATTCACCCTGGTGGGAGTATTTCTACAATGAACACTGGCAAATACTGCAAATAAGTTGTGTGTGTTTTTTTTCCCCTTTTGCAGAGTTAGAATACTTAGCAGTAGCACTCACTTGAAATAACACAGGAATCAGCTGTGTAAGTTGTACAAATTCAAATTTAATGCAAAAATAACAAAATCATTTTAATCAAAACAATGATTGTATTTTCTTTTGCTTCTTTTGTTGTTGCTGCTGCTGTTGTTATTTTTTTAGAATGGTTATTGTTTTAATTAATTATATTGGTACATCTTCAGTATACAATGTAATGACATTCATCATTGCACATTTGTACCTTTTGTAACCTATCTTGGTTCTTTTTTTTTTCCCCGCATTCCCCTTCCCCCTTCAACTCCTCCACCCTTCCTGAATTCTGTTTTGAATGAAAACTTACACTAGTATTTGTTTCATATTAGACACAAGAGAGCTCAACTTCCTGCCATTTCCATTTTTCAGTTTATCCAAGCCACTTGCACACTAAAGGTGTATTTCTTCAGAAACTTTTCAATAGACTGCAGTTCACTAAGAGCTGCTGGGACTAGCATTGTTTAATGTGTGGTTTAAATTTCATTGCACTTATAGAGTCAGGATATGCTCCTAATCCATGACTTAAAACCTGACAGCTTTATCGAGCATCATTACAGCTGGTGTTTTTCACTCTGTTAATCTCACTCATCTCTGACTTCCTACATAATAACTGGAAAAGGCATTAGGAGTGACATATTTATGTGTAGAGACACAGTTGATCAATTCATCTAGGCTGTGGAGAGTGCTGACTAAGGCACACTAGGTAAATAACATGAAGGCTGTGAACGGAATTGGGAAGGACCTGCAAAATAGAGCTCTGATTTTTATAATCTAGAATGGCTCCTGTATCACAAACAGATGTGGAAGAATTTGAGTAATCATATCAGGATATTTGGTAGCAATTCCCTTATTTCATTCACCTGTTAAAATTATATTGAAAATGTATTTTCCAAATATTAGTTGCTACTGCGAAAGAGAAGGGGGAGGAAAGAAGAAAGGAAGGAGAGAGGAGAGGAGAGGGAAGAGAAAGGAGGAAGAAGAAAGAAAGAAAAAGAAATAAGTTAAAGAACTCCAATTTCTAATAATAAAAGCAATTATTATGTGCTTACTTTGTGCCAGGCATTATTCTAAATTAGTCATGATGTATTAGCTTGTTAACTCTCCTAGTAACAT